ATTTCTGGTTTAATGAGCTTTTTAAATCTGAAGACACAGTGGATCAGATAGAATGATGTTTTATAGATTCCTTCCTGCTATCATTGCAACCCCAACCTTATTACAGGGGAAAAGAGCACCAACAATAACCTTTAACGACCCCCTTTCAAAGACATAGACAGGCTAAAAAAGAACCCAAAAAAGGGGCAGACCCATTCATTACGTTCAATTTGCATCTTTTCTAAGCCAAAACAAGGCATTGTTTTGGTCAACTCTATAAGGCCTCAAACTTAACACTATTCTTGACATTTTGAATTGAAAAAGCTTCCTGGATGGGAAGAGAAACGTCTTCAAACTTGGAAACAAAGTTCATTGGATTTTTTTTTTTTACTTTTTTGGAATGACACTGACCTGGATGACTGAGAATCTTCACCAACATACCAAAATATCAAGCGGAAGCCATCACATTGGACACCACATTACATGGCCTGGTAATGTCTGACTTTTTCCACTGGTGCAAAGGTCCTTTCTAAGCATAAAGAAGTAATGTGAATAGACATTGATAAAAGGCCTGTAAGGATCTCATCAGCAACGATCAATAATGAAAATGCTGATCCCGTGCTATAGAATAAGAACTCCGGGGGTCGGTATAATGACAAATTGAGCTTTGAGTTGCAGAGCCCAAATAAATCCCATAAGTGTATGCACTTTTACCAAAAGCTTTGTGTTTTTATTGTAGATTCTGTTTTTATGAGAATGTTTAATTTCTATTTTATTGAGTTAGTTTTTAATTTACCTTTTCTTTATTCTGCATCTCAGGATGAGCTTTTTGATGTTGACAGTCGATTTCCAAAGAAGAGTCTTTTTATGAAGGAGTTCTCCCTGCTACCTTCAGGAAGGAGATACAGGATGCTATGCTGAAGACTTTTCTGTCTGCTTCTGTCAGCATGGTGAACTCCACAACATCAGGATGAACTCAGATGAACTTTTGCTTTCAGTGTCGCTGTATATGTGAATACTACATTGATAATAATAAAAAAAAAAGCCTTGGAGGTGTTATCAACTTTATCTTCCACCTTTAAAAATGTTTGACCTGTTTGACTTTCCACCAAACTGAGGGGGTTGAATTGGCTTGTTGAATTCTGAATTTAGAGAATAACAAGCAGGTATATTTGTTATATCAAATCTGCAAACTCCCTCTCCTGTCGGTAGCATCCATAACTTTCCTGATCTGTTTTGTTTTTTCAGACAAAGCAGGTATGCTTGTTATAAGCAGATATTATTTGTAAAAAATTACACCGTTTTGACCATTTTATACCTAAATGCATTTTAGTGGTGCATGAAAGTAGGCTGAATTATGCTCCAATATCATCCTCGGATGGATTTGTTCATGTGTTGCATCAGATGGGAGCTGGTTTTCTGAGTGCATTTGACCACAGTGATTACTTGATGGTTCTTTTTATCATGGGATTAAGCGTTTCCATTACCATTAAGATCCCGATTACCAAGGCCGCCCACCCCCTCAGGAAGCTCCGTACATCTTCACTGCTGCTATTTTAGATTTATTAACTGATGCACATAATGCTGGATCAACTCATGAGCTATTTCTGTCTCTACCTTATCGCTTGCTTCAGATATTTTCTAGAATTTTTTTGCGCTTTGACTTAAACACACTGTCCTGTAAAGAGAAGCAGACCTTTGTGCAGAGATGCTCCAATTAACCGCAAAGCAAGTTTAATTATATCTGCATTTTAAAGGGTTTGGAGGATAGAGAAACTCCCTCTCCTACGAACAGCATCCACACTGCAAAAAAAGGAAATCTAAATAAGTCATTTTTGCTCAAATTAAGTGCATTTTTTCTTGAATTGAGGAGGTAAGTGCGAAGTTTTGCCAATGGAACAAGACAATTTACATTTAAAATAAGAAAAAAACAATCGCTTTGTCTTATTTCAAGCGTATATTATCTAATTATCTTATTTTAGGTGTAAAGATACTAATTCCATTGGCAGATCATCTTATTTACCTGCTCAAATTAAGGGTAAATACACTTAAATTAAGACATTTTTTACTTATTTCTAGATGTTTTTTGCAGTGCATACACTGGAAAAAGAATCTAAAAATAAGTAGAAATGTCTTAAATTAAGTGTATTTACGCTTAATTTGAGTAGCTAAATTAGATAGTTTGCCAATGGAATGAGTATTTTTGCTCTTAAAATAAGAAAATTAGATAAAATGCACCTGAAACAAGACAATGCAATTGTGTTTTCTTATTGTACGTGTAAATTGTCTTGTTCCATTGGCAACATGTCTCTTTTACCTACTAAATCCAAGAACAAATACACTTATTTTAAGAAAAAACAACTTATCTACATTTCGATTTTTTTCCAGTGTAACTCTCCTGATCTGTTTTGTTTTTCTGGAAAACTTTTTCTTATAAAAAATATATTCTTATAAAAGAAACACCTAAATATTATCTCACATTTTATGTTGATGATCATGAAAAACAAATGTCCTTCTGATTCCACTTTTTAGCTTCTCGTCCTACAAACATGTTGGCTTGTACAGTAGGACGGTAAGGGAGCTAAAGCTGCACAGCTACCAAATGTAGAGTATATATCTATAGGGTTTTCATAAATATGCCACTTTACCAACACTGGCAGCAGAGTTTAATTTAATGAACAGAAATTATCCTTTGAGATGAATAAATTTAATATAAAATTTCATGAGTCTTTTAACCCTTTATTACCTTATTACTGTTGTAACATTCAAATAACATGGATATTTTGATGACAAATATTAATGTCAACGTAATAACAAGAAACGCCAACTTGCCCGAATGTATTAAGAAAAATAGCAAAGGTGCTTCTATAAGAAATTCTTTGAAAAATATTTTTTTTGGTATATAACCGTTACCTTAGAAGCATTAATGCTGATCATGGCTGTCATGATTGGTTCTAGGTTAAACCCTCATGCAGAACACAAACGGAGGCTGAGTAAAAGTTGAACAGAGTTTATTGAATATGTCAGACACAAAGACAAGAACTGGATCAGGTACTGGTCCGGGTTGGGTTCAGTGATGTCTGCAGAGATGGACAGTTTGATTAGCCAGGCAGTCTGATGATTAATTGAGTCTTTAACATATTTCAGAGTCTACCTTGAAGAAGTCCAGGCTTTACTTGTGAGAGAGGGAACCGTTTGGTCCAGAGACTGTTGGTTCAGCAGAGTGCACAAGCAGCAGCAGCGTCTAGCTTCTGACTTTGAAAGGCAGACCTTGATCAGTTTCCAGCTCTTCCCTGAGAGCAGCAGGTGAAATCCAGACTGGAATCTTCAGATTTGGCTCACCAGGGCTGGCAGGCAGTTTAAGCTCATCCAGAGCTTCAGACTTGAGACAGGTTTCCTGTGATCAAAGACAGAGGTGGATTAGAATCAGTTTCTCACTTGAGATGACTAAGATTCTTTCTGGTAACAGAGGCTCAGGTTGCTAACCAAACTAAGGTCAACACTGCAGCGTTGAAGGAAGGTCTGGCAGCTGCTTAAATAGGCAGGTCTCCTGATGGGCTGATGAACGTCAGCTGTGCTGGAGGGCTCCATCCCAGGAGATCCACAGTGCACCCTGCTGGAGACAGGTGGCAGATCTCCAGATCCCAACAATGGCACTTTTATTTATTTTTAGTTTATAAACTTTTAGCTCATTAACTAGGCTGATTAACTGTTTTGCTTTACTTTTCAATTAGTTTTTTTTTTAAAAACCTTTTTTCCTTAACTTGGTAATTTTATTTGACTTAATTTATAGTAGGTAATATATAATTGAAGGGCTCAACTAATTCGTCAAAAGCCAAAATAAGATGTGCAGTGACTGGATATAGATCTAGTGCTTCTAGACCTCACTGAGCAACCAAGTGATTAAAAACACTAACTTGCCCTATAAAGGGTTAAATGCTACTGTTCTAGTGTCCTATCATATCTATCTGAACTATATCACTAACACCTCACCTCCATGTTAGTCTTATCCTCCTCCTTAAAAATCTGATCTGCCCATTTAGCAAACAATTAGTCTTAAAATTTTTCTGCGTTTTTTTTTAACGCAATGATTTCTCGACATATTTAAATCATTCCGATTATTCCAAGTAGCTTTGAACAACTTAAGTTTTTAAAAACTAAAAAACTAAAACCAAAGGAGTTTAAATCAAACTGTAGATTTACACAGTGTAAAGCATGTTGAGCAGAAACCGAAAACCAGTTCCTTTTGCCTGCCAGGTGTATTGCATCCGCCAGGTAAATTTCAAGACATGCAAAAACAGACAAAACTAGTGACATTTTTATCTGTGAAATAATACTTTCATTGTTTGTGAAAATTTTATTTTCCAGGATGTACCCCGTCTGACTGCCCGAGATAGGCATCGTGAAGTTTTTATATATATATATATTTTTATATATATATATATATATATATATATATATATATATATATATACATATATATATATATATATATATATATATATATATATATATATATATATACACATATATATATATATATATATATATATATATATATATATATATATATATATATATATATATACTGTATATACACAAGAATTAAAATAATGTGGTTTATAATGTGGTTTATTCCAATAAGTACAACAATTTAAAAATGATTATTTTACTCTATGTTAGCATGCTATGTTAGCAGGGTTGTCGTTTCCCTAAGCAAAATCTGTAAAACGGTTCTTTCTATTTCGTATTTCTCAAATTAAGCAAATGAGATCCAGGATATCGGGTATTGATCTTTGGAAGTGCTTCTGGGCATATTTTCAGGGCTTGAAAGGAGCCATGCCCTATGTTTGTGCTAAGCTAATTGCCTCCTGGCTCCAACATGACATATGAGATTGGAGTCAATATAACGGAATTGATCCTGTTATCTCTTGCTCAGCAAAGCAGGCAAATAAATCCTTAAATTTTGATTTTAAACAGCCGTGACACTAAGCTGTTTCCTCCCGTCTGTTTCCCAACAGATGCAGCTACTTGACAAGTTCCCAATCGAGGGAGGGCAAAAAGATCCGAAGAAGAGGATCATCCCATTTCTCCCAGGTAATAGCCTGCTTCTGCAGCTCCAGCGATCTGAACTGTCTCCCATATTAAAAATGCATGACTGGCACTCCTGGGACGTCACACTGAGCTGCTTATAATGATTGCTGCTGATGAGACAGTATCTCTGACTCTTCCTCCTTCTCAGCTGTGTTTTGCATGCACATATGTCCATCACATGTTCATTTTAGATGTTTTTACACGTGCGCAAATCTATGACTCAGATTGTTTCTGTGCAAGAATTTTGATTGTGTGTGTATCTGTGTGCTGGTATTGATTTGAGCCTTGTCACATAGACAACTGCTTATCTAGCTGACATTCAGGCTTGTGAGTCCCCCACGGTGCAGAAGCAGCAGTGATTTATGCCACTTTATATGGAAGATCCTGCTGCAGATCTCTGCAGATTCATTTACGCCTAGAGAATAACGGGCTTGTTTCTATTTACAGCCGTTTATTTTTGTAAATGCATAAGCATTTAAGCCCTGTGGCCACCGCAAAGTCTCAGCGTCAAGGCCAGTCGCTCCCTATCTCCCATCTAACCTCCAGCTATCTTCCTCCTCCTCCTACAAACAAACACAAGCTCTGTGTTTTCTGTAAAGCCACCGTCCTAAGATGCACACAGCACCAGTCGTCTGTGAACTTGTAATTCAGGTCAAACTCCTCTGCCCTTGCTGTGCGACACCTAATGGGCTCCCTAATTGGAAACGATTGAAAGAGCCCATTAGGTTACAGCCCTGAAATATCTCACTTTAACAACCTTTCTATAGGAAGAATAATCTCCATCGCAGTAGTGCTGGCATTCAGAATTTTCTTGGTGTCAATTCAAAGATGAAAAAGAGAAAATCTAGGATAGAAAATGAACAATCCACATAATTCGTTTTAGAAGTTATTGAATTAAAATATTTCAATTTGAACATGAATCATGGTGCATATTAACACAGCCTCATTCCATCTTTGGGTCTACGGATTCAATTCACTTCAGTTTATTTATAAACCAATTAACAATGCATGTCATATCAAGGCAATTTATAGAGAAAAATCAACCAGATCAGACAGTCAGATTGGTTAAAAGTTTCTATCTAAGGAATAGCATCTGATCCAGTCATTGACTTTGCAGGTGAGCATGCATCAACAGTAGATATTCTGTTGCATTGTGTTGCTGATTCAGCAGCAATTCCTCACAGTGAGCATGCATGCCGCCACAGTGGAGAGAAAAAACTCCCTTTTAACTGAAAGAGTCCTCCAGCAGAACCAAGCTAAGTGTGAGCTGCCTTCTGCTGAGGCCAACTAGGGTTCAAGGAGACAGAAACAGACATAAAAAAGGAATGTTACAATAGGTAGCAGTAAACTAGCTACATAAGTGTCTCTGTCTTGGAAAGAAACATTTTACCAGACAAGATCTGAGTCAGTATTAATGTTAAAGAGGATGAAAGAGCACATCGAGCTAGTCACAGTAAAAGCTAAGCCCACTGTGTCTATTTGAGAAACAGGACTAAACCCTGAAAAACAGGCTCAACTCTATCATCTATAATTAAAAGTATTAAATGGCCACAGCCCAGCTGATATTTTTCTCCTGGGTGCTGCCAGGTCAGGTGAAGCTATTATGAAGAATAAAGGTAGAGAGATCTTGGATGTCATACATTTATGTTCAGATAACAAGGATAAATACCACATCTGGGTTCATATGATGATTTCCTTTATAAATATAAGAAGCAGCTTGGCCCTGGGTCACCATGCAATGGTTTGAATTTAACAAACGTCATTATTAGCTGAGTTCTTTCTAACTTGCAGGGTTGAAAATTCCTGTCTAAAAACATGCAGTAGGTTAAAAGTCTCACAAACAAAAACTTACTCAACTATCTAAAGAAATCCAAGAACTGATAGAAAGTCATAGATACTGTATCTAATAGGCTGGGAAAAGAAGTAAAAAAAAAAAAAAAAAAAAAAGAAGTAGTCTACCAAAACAATTTCCATGGCTTTGTGTTACTATACAATTGTTAACTCTTGCACTACCAAAACTATCTACAATTAGAGTCCATCTCATCTGGAAGACCTCAAAAGAAGTCAGATCACCAACTAATGCCCTGCAGGTCTCACTGCCTCATCTAGATTCAACAATAAGAAAAGAGAAACTGGGAAAAAAAGGCCTCTATGAGGGAGTTCCCAGGCCAAAACCTTTACCGACCCAAAACAACATAAATGCTCTCTTCAAAAACAAGACATGATGATCTCCAAGTCTTCATGGAAAATATCTGTGTGCTGATGAGACACCTGGTGTAAAACTATCATCAGCGTCATGGGTTGGTGTTTATCTCAAACCGTCTAAATATGATAATTTTTAAGATACTTGTACAGTTTTTATTTTAGAAAGAAATGCATCATGCTACTGTCAAACATGGTGGTGGTGGTGTGATGGTCTGGGGCTTGTTTGACACTTCAGAACATCGTGGACTAAACACACATAATGGGGAAAGGTAAATTCTGCCCTTTTTTCCAGAATCCATCCATTGTGGATGTCCTGCCATCTGTTTGGGACCTTAACTCATTAGACACGCTTTGCTTTTTCATTTTAACAGGAAGCAAAGACAAAATGAAAGCTTTAAGGTGGCCTTGTCCAAGTTTAGAGCACAATCTGTCTGTGTGCTAAAGGGTTTGAAGCTTGGAGTTTATGAACGTAACCAACATCCTGTACAGACCGGGGTTTTGGAGATTTCTCTATTTGCCTCATTTGGTTTGTTCTGCTAAAAAGCTTAGAGCTGCTGTTTTCTTTCTTTGTGCTGAAGAACCAACCAAACGTCAGCTGCATGTTGAGTTTACATAGAGAACACTACTTTAATCTGGGCTGTTTTAGTTGACCAGATGACCAGACAGATATAGAAATTATTTTAAAAATGTACCATTAATGTGAAAAACCTGATTCTTGTCCCTACAAATCAAAGCACACAGGAATGCCATGATAAAGCCAGTAATCACTGTTCTGTTAAAATAAAACTTCCCTACAAATGATTCATAGAAGAGCTTTTTATATCTTATTTGTTTATTTGCAAATTACTGACATCTGCTGGCATCTCTGAAAATTACACCTAGCTGTGCTGAGAAATGAACCTAAATTCAGTGTCAGTTCATGTTTCAGTTGTTTTCTTTCATTTGTCTCCTTGTTGTTATTTCCTCTGTTTTATCCCTAAACACCATCCAACTTTTCCCTGAGTTATCAATTCAATTCAATCCAGTTCAGTTTATTTCTATAGCGCCAATTCACAACACATGTCATCTCAAGGCAATTTACAGTTCACCAGATCATACAGTCAAATTGATTCAAAGTTTTCTATCTAAGGAAAACCAGTTCATTGCATCGGCTCATTGATTTTTCAGCAATCCCTCACACTAAGCATGCTTGTAGCGACAGTGGAGAGGAAAAACTCCCTTTTAACAGAAAGAAACCTCCAGCAGAACCAGGCTCAGTGTGAGCGGCCATCTGCTGAGGCCGACTGGGGTTCAAGGAGACAGAAGCAGAGATACAAAAAGTAAGTGTAAAAGGCGGCTCCATCCAGGAAACACACAGCCAGGCAGACGAACTCAGAGCCAGCTCCCATGTCAGAGGATCAAGAGAGCACATGCAGCCAATCACGGTCAGAGAAACAGGACAACACTGAAAAACAGGCCGATCTCCAAATCTATAAACAAAGGTGTTGATGGCAGCATCACAGCTGATATTTCTCTCCAGGATGGAGTCACAGCCAAACAGGAACAGACCAGATGAAGCTACTATGAGGAAAAAGCAGAGAGCAGAACGTTAGAGATTGAACTAACAGACTGCAGAGTGGGAGAATAGAGATAGAATGATGTAAGCCTATAGCAGCATAACTATAGAGAACGCTAAGGATAACCTGAGCCACTCTAACTATAAGCTTTATCAAAAATGAAAGTTTTAAGCCTAGCCTTAAAAGTAGACAGGGTGTCTGCCTCATGGACTAAAACTGGTAGTTGGTTCCACAGGAGAGGAGCCTGATAACTAAAAGATCTGCCTTCCATTCTACTTTTAGAAATTCTAGGTACCTATCCTTCACCTTTCCCCGTGTTTTGACTCTTTGTTTTTGTCGTTTTTCCTTTCACCTCTTCAGGCAAAATCCTGTTCCGGAGGAGTCATGTGCGAGACGTGGCCATGAAGCGGCTGCGTTTCATCGATGACTACTGCAGGGTAAAGAGGCCTCGTCGTAAACATCCCTGTTGTTGTTGTTCTGAAACATTCCTGATCCTTTCAGGAGTCCAGGCATTCCATTAACAGTGGCATCAAAAAGGCATTAATAACTGATCTGGACTGGAAATGAGGCATGCTTTAACAATTAGTAGCATGTAGAAATCGTAAAGTCGAATTTTTTTCTCGTATGCAATGTGCATCAATCAATTTTTAGTTACAGCAGCCATACCAGAGAAAGTTCTTTCAAAGAACAATATCTTTGTTTGGTGGAAAATCCAGACTGAATGCAGGGACTGGAAAGCTGGTGGGAGCTGAATGGAGGATGGATGGAGCTAAATACAGTAGGGTGGTGGAAGAAAAACTGTCGGAGGCTGCAGGAGACCCTCCAGCAGGATGACAGCCCTAAACAGAAATCCAGAGCTACAATGGAGGGGCTTAAAAAATAATTAGTTTATCCAGTCTGACTGAGCTTAAAAATAAGCAAAAATGTCAGTATCTTTATATAAAGCTGATCGAGAAATAAGTAAAAATGTATTAAATTAAATGTATTCACCCTTAATTTGAGTAGGTAAATGAGATAGTTTGCCAATGCAATGAGTATTTTTACTCTTAAAATAAGATAATTGGATAATATGCACTTGAAATAAGACAATGTAATTGTTTTCTATTCTTATTTTAAGTGGATATTTTCTTGTTCATTTGGCAAAATGTGTCTTTTACCTCCTCAATCCAAGAATAAATGCACTTATTTTATTTAAAAAAAAAATGACCTAGATCTAGATTTCGAGTTTTTTCCATTGAACAAAATGCGAAATGCTGCAGAAAGATTTAAATGAGTTTATGAATAATCCATACCATGCATCATATTGATGTAGTTGTATGTACAAAAGGTTTAAAGGTAGTAAAAAGTTTAGCAAGGCAGAGTAAAACCCAGACTGGATCTGGTGGTTCTGCTGAAGCAGCTGGGCTGACTGAACGGGTTGATTAGCAGAGATTTTAACCTTTTTCAAACTCCGACTGATTTCAGTGAATTAAACCCTCATGCGCTAATATGGAGTCAATTTTCTTCCTTTATTGTTGGAAGCAAAGAAGATGTTTTAATAATTATTGAATAATGAACTTTATTGAGCTCACATAAGAGAAATTCACTCTTTGCATTTCACACATCCCCTTGGGGAGCAGTGGGCTGCCATTGTGCCATTTTTTTACACTGATATTATATCCAAATTTTTTTATTATGTGTTTCAGATCACATTCTCCTCATTTCAACCCCGAAAAAAATGCTCAATTTTTATGCAGATATACCAACAGAAATGTTGCCGCCATCTTCCAGCAGGCCAATAGAAATGCTTCTTTGCTTTTAACCCCAGAAGAAAGCCCCCCCCCCCCCCCCCCCCCCCCAAAAAAAAAAAAAGTGAAGAGAATGTAATGTGGAAAAATTTATTTGAACAATGCAAAAACTGAACTGAATTCCTTTTTCTTAAGGTAAATGTATTTTCTCTTGATTTTAGTAGGTAAGCAAGATAATTTACTAAAGGAACACGATGATTGACTGTTAAATGAGAAAAAAGTCAATCTGCTATCGTATGTTAACATCCAATTATCTTATATTAGGGTCTAAAATATTCATTCCATTGGCAGTTCATGTTATCTACCTGCTTATATTAACGGCAAATAATCTTATTTTAATACATTTTGACTTATTCTTATATCTGTTTTTGCAGTGAAAAGAATTAAGTTTATAAAACTCAATCTGAAAAAAGTAATTTTGATAAATTAAACTTGAGAAAACCGCAAAGTTCCTCTCAAAACCTTATTTGATGAAGAAGTTTTTTTTAAAATTTTCATTTCAGGATTCCATTAATTTTATTTCAATTCACAAAACTTGACCTTACACTGAAAAAAAAAATGCCACAGTTTTTGGCATTTACTTAATCATATTTAGTTACTTTAACACAAACACTGCAATGATCTAAAAATGAGTAAATAAGTCTAAAAGTAAGTGTATTTACCCTTAATTTGAGTAGGTAAATAAGATGATTTGCCAATGGAATGAGTATTTTAACTCTTAAATTAAGATAAATAGATATTATACACTTGAAATAAGACAATGCAATAGTTTTTTCTTATTTTAAATGTAAATTGTCTTGTTCCATTGGCAAAGTGTCTCACTTACCTCCTTAATTCAAGAAAAAAATGCACTTAATTTAAGAAAAAATGACTTATTGAGATTTACATTTTTTGCAGTGAATGTTTTATGTCCTATCCTGCTAACATGAAACAATTATTTTTTTCAGTTTAGCTTACCAAATAATGAACAAACCTCCCTTCAATTCCTCTTTCCTATAAAACTACACAACATCAAAGGACTACTTTAGTAATTACACACTTCAAGACCGTCTTGATTATCACTTCCTGTTCACACTCTTATTAGAAACGTTTTATTTCATGTGTCCAGATTATGATCTTTTTTTTTTCCGCCTTCTCAACCTCGCCTCCTCCCTTCCTTCCTCTTGGCACAGGTCCACACTATCAGTGGGAAATGGGCTCAATACAGCAGCTTTGTTTCCACACACAATTAGCAGCCAATATTCTTGGCCCTCATTAGGGAAGGTTAGCCAGAATATCAGCTCATTAATTGGGACCAAAGAAATAATAGCAGGTCCACCCAAATATGCACTCTTTTTTTTACCCAAATAACCTGCGGCTGAGTAATTTATCCAGAGTTTTTTCCTTCACCCAGCACAGCAAAAATATGCTACACTGTTTACTTCCTGGAGATGAGGCCCAAACAACAAAGAGGAAGAGTAATTAGCCGGTGTTTTCAAAGGCTCTGCTCTGTGGATAATGCAGGATGCTGCATCCAGACAGCTGTGGGTGCACAGCATGATGCAGCTTCTTCAATCATAACCCAAAGTCTTCCTCTATAATATTATGAAATATGAAGGCGGCTCAGTTGACGATGGCGGCAATTTAAAATAAAGGCCCGCTCTGTTCATCTTCACGGTCTAGCTCCTCGTTTGGCGGCTCTGTATGGGAGCCTTAGCTCCGCTTGCAGCCGGTTGGCTCATTAAATATGGATGGATAACAGACATATGATCCTTTCTGACTGTTATTGAGCTCTGTCTTTGAAGATGCTCAGAGGCAGCAGTTCACTGATCTGGATCACAAATCTCTGCCGGTCAAAAGTCTACAGCTTCTGTCAAACAAATCCTGCATTGCAAGAGTTTGAACCCATGTTTACTTCTTGAGACGGTTTGACCGCTTTGTTTTGCTTCAATATCGATGAATAAATCTTGAAACGTGAAATACTGAAAAGGCTTTGCCTGCACTTTTGAAACCTTCTGCATTAAAGACCAATTCTGAAACCGATACCTTAATTTATATAGCTTTGCTGAGGGTCAAAGGGGGATCTCCAACGCATCGAATCCATTCCAGTTGATTTCATTTGTTATTCTGAAGCACCGATGGAGCTCACTATGATCAATGCACTTTTTTCCCTTTAACCCTTTAAAGCCCGATCCAAAAATAATAAAACAAAACAGAAAATTACTTTTTTTTTTGTTTGAAGTCCTTATTTGGCCTTTTAACAAAATATGTAAAAGAAAAAACAGAAATACATTTTTGATATTAATAATTTATTACTATGCAATAAGTCAAGATTATTTTTGGTGTAGTCTTCTGCCCTCTGTTATCAGGTATATCTGATTGTGTACAATAGGATTTTGAGCAAAGTTTTTACCATTAAATTATGCAAAAGGTGTCAGACACAAAACATTTCAGAAACCGTATGTATCAAATATGATACATTTGGCATTACAGGGTTAAGGATCCACGACTATTTGAAGATGTTGGCCTAAATATATTAGTAGTTCCTTTTTATCATGTTGCGTTTGCTTGGTGTAAATTTAGACAATGCCACTCTGAGTCACTGCCTCAATTTTCATGAGCCGTTATGCATCAGATATCTGTTGGAACTGACACATGTGATTGGCTTGTAATCTACTGTTTACTATATTAGCTAGAGCTAACGCAGTTAGCAGAAGCTAATCTGGAAATAAAATCCAACCAGAGAATAATGAAACCACTCTTTAAAGTGACATTGAAGCATCTTTCAGTTGTAACACATTGTTTTTTAAGGAGGGAAAAGATTCAGGAGAACTGCAGATAACAGTTGCAATATTTAAAAAAAATGGGTGAAAAAAAGGACAAAGTCTCCAAATACTTTATGCCGCTTTCCTGCTAAGTCAAGGCTAAGCCTAGGCGGATAGAAGGATGGGATGCCCCCTTGAAACCAACCCTTGGAAATAAACACATCCTGTCCAAACTAGGGTTGTCACGATACTAAACTTTTCAACTCGATACCGATACTAAGGAAAATATTCGATACTCAATACCATTTTCGATACCACAAGGATACAATTTCAACAGAAATATTTTGATTAATAATTAAAATACAATAAATAAATAAATACAATAAACAATAAGAACAACATTTTGAGGTTGTCTGCTGTGCACAGTATATAGCAAGCTTGATAAAAAACTTACAAAATTAAAATTAAGTTTTCCTTACTTGGCTATGCTTTGCACACATAACAATGACACTAGTCAAACCGGTTAAGAAACAAAAATAATTCTCAGCAGCTGCAACTGTTACAAAAAAAGTCTGAAACTGAAAAGTGCGTAGAATTCTTCAATCACAGTGTTCAGAAAGTGCATTTTCCTCTATTCTGCACTTTAGATGAATGACTGTTTAGGTGCGACTGGTACTCGATACTGGAGCTACCCCTCCTGCTCCCTATGCAGGCCACGGCAAAGGCACAGCTATCCCACACTCATAAAGCATGGTAATATAAAAAAAAACTAAACAAACAAACAAAAAAATTAGATTAACGCATGTTTTAGATGGAAAAAAGAAGACTGTCAGGGTTCATGCTTTTGTTTAGATTTATTTTTAGTTTCTTTGTAATTTTGTGTCTTTATAGTTGTTTTCTGTCAGTGCTGTGTTTTTGTGTTACTCTTTATTGCCCCCTTGTGCCAGTTTCTTTCCCCTCGGCTCCCTTCTAGTTACTTCTATCCACACCTGCTCCATATCAGCTCATTAGCCCATTCTTTGTTCTGTTCTCCATATATACACCACCTCTGCAGTTCCTCATTAGTAGTCTCTTGTTGATTTGTTGCTTTATTGCTATCTCCCCACGGGTTGTTCTCCCTGGTGTCTCCTGGTTTTTTGTTCCTTATTTTGTTCCTGTATTTTTGCTCAACTAATTTCCACCAAACCTGGAAACATATATAACATCTGGAAACGTATACAGTAATGGCAGCTGCTTCAGTTAGTTTTTAACTTATCAAAGTACATGAGATTGATGCTTATTTTCAAACATTCCCTCTGATTTATGTTTGCCATTACTATGTGTTCATTATCACATGAAATGGCAATGAAATTCATTCAAATCTGCTGCTGGAATGTGACAAATAATAAAACAATTAAATGGCTCTAAAACTTTAATGCCAGATCTAAAGGTTTAGCTCAATTCTCCATTTGTAAGGGGTATGCAAGTGATCAAAAACGCTAACTTGCCCTATAAAGGGTTAATGCCACTGGAGTTGGCTGATTTCTAATGAACTGTTAAAGTAAATTGTTAAGGTGGAATATGTTGATCCAAGGGAAGAATCAGTAAGATCTATTCTGTAAGATCATGTCTCTTTAGTCATCAAGTTTCATGGTTTCCTGGATGAATGAGAATCTTCACAGATAAGCATAAATAAGTGTATTTGCCATTAATTTTACCAGGTAAATAATATAATATGCCAAAGGAATTGGTATTTTTCCTCCCATAAAAACAATCAAATATGATACATTGGGAATATCCTAATGGAGTGGTTCTATAATGTTAATCACATTATTTTTGTTCGCAAATTGTCGTTTCCTGCTCAAGGGAGAAAACATTCTATTCTAGATTTAGATTTAAAATTTTGCGGTGTATGCCCTTAGTACAGGGGCCATAACGTTGTCTATTGAACCACCCTGTTTCTGTTAGACTTCACGGTGCTCGTCTCTTTCTGTCTTCAGGCTCTGGTGAGACTCCCTCCTCACATCTCTCAGAGCGAGGAGGTGCTTCACTTCTTCGAGACAAAAGCCGAGGACATCAACCCCCCAGTGGAGTGAGTGTCGAACGCACACAGAAACATCCCTGCACATTCACGCACGCAAGGTTTGATAGGATGGGAGCATTCTTTGGTGTTCAAAGTAGAAAATGAGTTTGAGTTTGTGGTTTTGGGAGAGAATCTGTGCACAGTGATTTGTCCCTGCAGATGCAAACATGCAAACATGATGATGCTCATAAATCCGCCATGTTACCCTGAACATTCATGCAACAAAGCTCCCCTTTGGACTGCTGTGAGCTCATTACCTCTCTATCTCCTCCTGCTTTCAAATCTATTCCCAAATCAGATCCTTCTCAATGGGTTTGCATGTTAAAACCTCAAACCGGATTATAAAGAGAGGGAAGCTGATGGAGACAAGAACGAGAGGAGGAGACTAGCTTGTTATTGCAGCAGGAGGTGGCCCCCGTTGGGTAGTTGTTAATTAGAGAACACGCTCTCCCCTCCGATACTGAAATGCCGGCATCGCACCCTTCATTTGTTATGTGTTCCTGTCTGCGTGGAGATGGATGCACCCAAGGCGATCCGAGTTCTACCTCCACTCTTCTTGCGTTTTAATTACTTTCCTCTGTGTTTCTCCTCCTCTGCCTCTCCATGTGACCCTTCTCTGTCACTGTTTTTCATGCGCTAGATCATCGCTCCTCTCTTCTAGCTCTAATTTACTGATTTCGACCTGACCTCATAAATTCGAGCATGTCTGATCGGCGAGGATGGTTCAAGGTTATTAACACCCCTGCCTACAGAATTAGCACCATTACAGGCTCTCAGCATCCACGCAGTTCCTCTTGTCACCTGTTCTCTCATCTTCAATACATCAATGTCTTTCATCTTCACTTTCAATTCAATTTAGTTTATTTGGATAGCGCCAATTCACAACAGGTCATCTCAAGGCTCTTCACAGAAACTATTCAATCAGATCATCCAGTCAGATCGGTTAAAAGTTTTCTTAAGAACACCACTTGATTGGATCCTGTCATTAACTTAACTTGAGATACTGTATCGTCTTTTACTCTAAATATGAACTATAATCTTGATGAATAAATAAAATATTCAAAAGCGTAGCATCAGGACTGCCGTTACTCTTTGTAGTTATTCTTAGTGACAAAACTGAATAAAATCCATTTATCTTATTTTAAGGGGGAAAAACTAATTCTGCTGGCAGACCATCTTATTTATCTGCACTAATTAAGGACAAATACACTTATTTCAAGACATTATAACTTGTTTTTGCTTTGGTGATGTGCATTATTAGTTTATCACTATAAAGGTAATGTCGTAATGTCTGTATGTTAGCAGGAATGTTGAGCTTTCGGCCTCATTTAGGGCCGTGCCACGCAGCTGAAAAATGTAAGCCTTTCAAATCAGTCGACATCGATAATTATGTTTCTTTATTTTTAGTAGCCTGTTACAAAAAAGGCGGAATTTAAACCTTTAACTAGAGATAGATCGATACTCCGGTACGCCGACATTTACTTTGTATTGGCTGATATTTGCAGGTGCTGACTGATTCATTAATGCATTTAGTAGGGCTGCAACAACGAATCGATAAAATCGATAAAAATCGACTTTTAAAAGCGTTGGCAACGAATTTAATCATCGATTAGTTGTGTCGCGCGATTAATGCGTCATCCGCCGCCGCCGTCATCCGGGGGAAGAAAAAAAAATATGGCGGAGCGAGTCAGCGCCGCAGTTGCAGTGTTGCCAACTCAGCGACTCTTCAGACCCCTCCAGCGACTATTTTTCAAAAAAGCGACTGGCGACAAATCTGGCGACTTTTTACGGTGTCACTGGCGGCTTTTGCCTGCCGTGGGGCGCCTCCCCCATCCCAACCCATTTCTCCCTCTCCCACAGGAATCCCTCTCAGCGCGGCGGTCAGAGCCGCAGGATTTTAGTGAGGAGTTTACCCTCAGCGTCCAGACTGCAAATGAAGCGCGCATGCGCCGGGATTGACGGCGCAAATTGATCACAATAATTAAAATAGCCGGCGCTTTGTAAAGTGAAGAAAGTCGTAACATGCAACTTTTGTAAAAACAAATGAACATGGCACGGAAGCACCACTGTTATGACGCAGCACCTGAAAAGAAAACACGTTGGAGCCTTCAATGGCAGTGAAGAGAGCTGATCAGCAGGATAAGTAACCATGTTTGTTTGGTTTTAAAGTGGGGAAACGTAACGTTAGTTTCTCAGGTAGCTCATCTGATGCTATCCTTACCTTGTTAGTAGGTTACAGACAGTGATAAGGTTGGCTACTTATTTTACTTTTAATTTCATTTAAATTTGTTTAAGCAGCGTTTATATTTTCTTTATAAATAAATTAACTTGCAAATTATGAGGGCAAGGCTTTTAAAGTTTAAATCTTCTGGCAAAGATAAAGAAAAGAAGATCCTGCAATTTATGGAAGTAAAGCAGAATAAAATCCAGCAAGATCAGTAATATGTCAATTAATTATCTGCCACATTCCCATGTAAATATCTGTCTTTGGAGGATGTGTTTTTTAGCACCCCTAGTTCTCTCATTTTTATTCCAAATACAATTTATAATTTGAATCACAGGGCTATTTTTATCTCTATGGTTCAGTATTTTCTCAAGCAGCAACTTTAACTGCTATACTTTCCTGTCTTAAAAGGCAGAACTCTTCTAGTCTAAAAAAACTAATTTGTTGAAATGGGGGGGCCTATTGTTTGAACCCCTTAGGGGCTTTAAAAAACAAAAATGCCTGTCTCTTTTTGCGCTTTATGAAACAAAGTAGCCTATATTTTGTGGATGTACAGCTACATTTCTCATGTAAGTTTGCGTAGTTTTAACACAAACATTTATTTTTCATATTGCACCAGTACAGTTAATGAGCAACCTGTACTTGTGTGCTTGTTTGTTCTGTCTAAAATGTTTATTTTGGAATAAAGAGGTTAATATAAAAAATTTTTTTGGTCCGATTCATCGATTAATCGAAAAAATAATCGGCCGATTCATCGATTTTTAAAATAATCGTTAGTTGCAGCCCTAGCATTTAGCATCTATTCTTCGAGGTCACGTGAACTGCATGCATGGCCGTTCGCTCCATTTCTGATTTGTTAATAAATGTTTTATTTTATTTTGTTTATTTCTTTGATATGGAATCACATATACATCATCAAAGTAACATAAAACCACATGTAATGTTTAGGTCTTTTTGACTAAGTGTTAGCGTTCAGCATTAGTCCAAAGGGAGTTTATAACACAAAATTAAACAATGATACAATAAGATTTAAAAATAATTTTGAATTTACAGGAGCAGTTCAATCAAAAACCAATTTAATCTGCCTGATAGTACATCTCTGTACTTTGTAAACACAAGGAGATGGTGGTTTTAAAGTACATTGTATCCTAAAAATTGTTTCCCTCTGAAGCGCCGTCAAGTTTCTCCATGGGAATGGCTCATAGAACGACCTGTGGCTCATTTTCCATCCAACTTTATCTGTTTCTCTCATTGTGAAGGCTTTCTAGACCACTATTTCTTTATGTTTGGACCAAACAATATCCTCACAATGGACTCTATAATACCTTAATATGAGGTGTTTGTTGTTAACTGGGTGTTTTTCAGGGTATTCAGGTCTTATCCCTTCAAACAAGCACAAAATGAAAATCAAAAAAGCTGCCATGACCTTTAGTAGACTGATCTAAAGCTACGGTTACTACTCTGAAATAGTTTTTGATGTCTTTACACCCCGGCATCGAGTTAGCAATCAATTACGGAGAAACAAACCAACAAATCTCCTGCTTTTTTAGAAGTCATCACACTGATGATCTTTTCTCCAATGAGCGTCGTGTAGGTAAAGAAAAATAACCTTAAAGTCCTTTGTAGGGCTGAGTATTTTCACCAAAGTACTGAATTGATTTGATTTTGATTCATACAGTTCTAAATCGATTAATTTCGATTCGATCTGTTTTTACAACAATGAAAGTGGTTCAACTGAGTTTCAAAACACTCATGTATTTTATTTTTTCCTGTCATATTAAACACAAAGTGCAAACGTGTTTGTGAAAAGTGAAAAAATGAAGCCTCAGCAGGGACACAGCAGACATGCATGAGCTGCCTTACACCCTGTTTGCTGGTTAGCCTCCATTTGTTAATGTCTTCAGTCAACCTATTGGCAATATTTGCAGCTGTCTGGCTTGAAGTCATCTTTAGAGCATCTTTCCTGCTCATTTGAATGTGAACTTCACGCGCGTCACTATAAAACTAATCGATCTCATTCCCTAGACATCGATTTTGCAAAAATGTAAAGGAATCGATTGATTTCTTTTCTGCTAAATATTTTGTAAATTAAAATCTAAAAAAACCATGCAATCCAGAAATAACACTTGGGGGAAGAATTTTTTTTTGAACTTCTATGGCTGTTTTCTGAGATTTCATTTAAATTTGTTTGATATTGTAACAGATTGTTCTGTTTCTGTATGTTAAAGTTGTGTCCATCCCTGTTGCCGGGGAGCGAAAGTTTGCTGGGTGTACGGCAGGGGGAGCTTGTGAGTTTTGGTTATGTGTAAGAAGGAGAAGAAGAAAAAAATAAAACCGGATGCGGGGTTACCTCCGAAAACTCCGGCCTGTCTCTTGTCCTGTTATTGCATATAAAGTTCATAATATGGACCCAAAACGCTCGGTTAAAATATATCTATTTTCTGTTTTCTAATTTTGCTGTACATTTTTAGATTTCTCTTTTTCAGCTTGAGTTTTGCAAATCGCATTATTTAAAACTGCATTTTACACGTCACTTCTCTTTAGTTCTGGGGGCGGTCTTTCCTCTGGAGTGAAGACGCATTTCTATTGGCCTGGATGGGCGTTAGCAACATTTTGTCATTGGTTAATGGGAGCATTTGTATTTGGCATGAAGTGAAGAGAATGTGATCTCAAAAAGAGAAAATAAAAAATCTAAATTTTAAACATTTTTAGGATAATTATCATTGATGATGTGTGAGTTTATTACACCTTAGTATAAGCTGCCTGTTGCATGTCAGAACTGAGG